TCTTATGGGTCTCACGAAAAACCATTGGTCTCACATGATCCCAAGACAATATATATATATATATATATATATATATATATATATATATATATATATACACACACACACATATACATACATACAAATGTACAATGTATAATTCAAATGCAACCATGTCCATTCGTACAACCAATACAACCCAATCAATTGAGATATTTATGAAAATGATGAGAGTTCATTTATTATGATTTGAATATTTATATAAGATAACTAAAGTTCATTAATTATGATCAATATTTTATATTAGAAAACAATYAAAACTTTTATGAAATCATATATTCATCAAATTAAATGAACGATTGAGATTGAGTTGTATTGATTGTACAAATATAAATGGTTGCATAATAACTAACCCTTCTCTGTATATATGGTTTCTAAAAAGATGGTATTAAAAAATGGAATACTTTTAAGAAGAGGAGGAAAAAAATGATGCTAAATGGATGATGATGAGAAGAATCTTGAAGAAAAGAATCAAAGGAAAGGGTTTTAGAGTTGGTGTTGCTTGAATTTGAAGTATTCTTTTGACATTTTTCTCATTCCCATTATTATATTTATTTATTTATTCAAACCCAATTTCTTTATTTCAAAACCTATTAAACTTAAATAAACCAACATCAAAATCTTAATTTGTATTTTCTGATAAATCTAACCACAAGAAAACCAGATACGTCAACACGTCATTGATTCAACAGTATCCGAGTTATTTTCAATAGCTTTAGAAGTTAACGATTCAAATCTTACCAAATCAGTTATGATAACGTTGAAGAATCAATGCGGGCATTTGGAATTTGTCTTGTTTTCGTACACGAAAATGGTTTAACGTATACCCAAAGAAAATCAAGAGGGAATATTGTAACAAGCGTTCATACAAAATCATATTTGTTTAAACCGAAAAGGGTATTTTTCTTGCTCGTTTCTTTACTTCTCTTGTACACTGATTCATATGTATCTGTCATCATAACCGTTAATTGACCCCTGAATCTCACATACAACACACACACATATATATATATATATACACATATATATATTTGTATATATATATATATATATATGTGTGTGTGTACATGCATATGTTAAAAAGCTACAACTTCTCAAGTAAGGAAAGCACCTATACTATTTGCATGAATAAGAAGAAATTCCCCTTGCATATTATGCTTCTATTACTTGCTAATCCTTCAATGCCTTTCCCATAAGGCCTTCTACCTTTGCTTTTCTCCTTTTCCTTTTCTTTTTTCCTTTTTCATTATTCAAACCCTAAATTCATCCAAAAGATTTTGAAAGAAAATGGCAAGCAATTCTTTGTTGGATTCATGCCTCTTTTATGTCATACCTCCATTACTTTGGAAAGTCTTTCTCCATTCATGTCAATTCTGAAGAAAATCAAACTCAGATTTCGGTCTTTCTTGTCAGCTCGAGATTTATTTAAGTTAGTTTAAAGATCTCAAATCCAATTCAAACCCTACAACGATCTTGCTTTTAATGTATCCTTCTTTCAGGGATCAGGGTTTTTGGTGGTTTGTATGAATCATACACATTATGGGGTTTATGATATAAACAAACCAAATCAAACAGACACATCGAACCCCATTTGAAAAAGCAGATTCTGGGAGTAGACTTTTCCTCTGTCTCAAGAGACAGAGGGGTCGTTTAATTAAGACGTTAACAAGAATTGTAAACGCTAATACACGGATTTCAATTGGTATCTTGAACTTCACGTAACAGAAAACTTGTTTTTTCAACGTCTTTTAAACACTTCTTTCCTAAACCCTTTAAATTTCAAATGAAAAGGGAATCAAGAACCAAAGTGAAAGAAATCAAGAAAGGCAATTGCATTTGTGAGACATGTTTAATGCAAACAACTCAAAGCATGCTTTTTAAAGAAACCATAATCCCAAAGCTAAGTTTAAAGTAACAAAAAAACATTTCTGCTTTTTTTACTTTAACAATTCAAATACAAAAAAGTATTCAAAATACATGTCTTAAAACATCATTTAAAATACTTATTCATGCACTGGGTGTGCATATTATGCTTACAAAACTTAAGGGAGAAGTACCAAATGGGATATGTTCCAAATAGATGAAAAAGAAAAGCCTTTTAGTTTGATACTATTACAACAATATATAAACACCAAACATACACTTCACTACTTCAACTCATGACTTGACCATTTCTTCTTCTTTACACAACCCCCTTTTTTGATGTCAACTCATCAAAATGAGCATGGAGAAAAGGTTAACATGGAGATATCAAGGTTCAATTTTGTTAGAGATGGAGCTACCAAGTTGCCACCCGGGTTCAGGTTCCAGCCGACTGACCAAGAGATCGTGTTTCAGTATCTGATCCGTAAGGTCTTCTCGTGCCCTCTGCCTGCTTCCATCGTCCATGAAATTGCCAACATTTGCAAATTCAATCCTTGGGACTTACCTGGTCAGTATATCCTTTTTGAACTATGTAATATTTTATGTACGACAAAACTCATACAGTTTCTCACTTTTGTAAGCCTTGAACCAATGACCCTTGGTCCAGTTAGTAGAGGTTGGGTTGTACTGCTGCTGGACCAATGACCCTTGGTCCGGTTAGTATTTATATTGATGACATTTTAGAAATGGGTTTTTTTTTTAATATTGATTGCTACAACGTTCATGCTTTTAACAAAGAAAGTGAAAACACGGGATGAATTCTCGTTGTTAATCTCATATCCGTGCTAAAAGCCCAAGACTCACAAGATATCGCGATAGTTAATTTAGGACGCAATGCAGTCTTCTGTTGCACTTAAAAAGAAGAGTAAATTACGTTTTTCGTCTCTGTGGTTTGTTAAAAGTTACGATTTTCGTCCTTGTGGTTTAAAAATTTGCGGTTTTCGTCCCTGTTGTAATTTTCATTCTTATGATTTACAATTCATTCTTGTTTCAGTCTTTGTGATTTTCAATTCTTTATTGTTTTGATCCCTTGTACTTAAAAAGTAGAAATTAGTCTAGGGATGTGAATAACAATAAATTACAAACCATAGGGACGAAAATCGGAATTTCTAAACCACATAAACGAAAATTGAAATTATTAACAAACCACATGGACGGAAATCGTAATTTAATCTAAAAAGAAATTGTATGTTAGGTCGCGTGTCTTTAGCAATGCCATAAGCATTGCTAAAGTTCTTTAGCTATCGCGACGTCCTTTTGCGTCGCTAAATGCATTGTCATCTTTTCGTGCGCTTTTTGAATTTTGAAATTCGATGTTGAAATAGGGGATTGGGAGCAAGATAGGTACTTCTTTAGCAAGAAGGAAGCCAAGTATGGCAATGGACATAGATCCAACAGAGCAAGCGACGATGGATACTGGAAAGCAACAGGTTTCGACAGACATATCACACGGTGTTGTTACAACAATCCGAACATGAGAAAAACAGAGATCATTACGGGGATGAAGAAAACGCTCGTTTTCTACAAAGGAAAGTCATTGCACGGGAACTCACCCACGAGAACCTCTTGGATTATGCACGAATATCGTCTCGTTCATTCACCTTGCTCGCCTAAAACCACATCTGATGATCAGGTAACGTGTACTAATTATTATATGCGTTAAAAATAGAACACAAAATATATCTCCGTGGCCACAAGGAGATTTTTATTCTTCCTTGGATTTGAACCTAAGGCCTCCTGGTACTTTTGACTTTGGAGTCAAGCTCAAACCAATCAGACACCACTCTTGTGGTCAATTCAGTCAATCAGTCTTAATTTTACGAAGCAAATACGCAAAATTCTGATCGTTTATTTCCGTGGTTCATTTTTCGCAGAGATCTTGGATTCAAATGGGAAATTGGGTTCTATGTCACGTATACTTGAACAAAAGAAGTAGAAATGTAGGAGTTGCAGATGGGAAGAAGCCATTGTCAAGTGGTTTAACTCCACAGAAAGAGCTTCTGAATCATGGTTTGATGATGATGAATGATGATGATGATGATGATGATCAACATGGACCATCATCATCATCATCTTGTGGTTCAAGTGTGGTCACTCGTGAGGTTTCCTCAATTAGAAAGTCATAAAATCAAGAAGAATAATGAATATGAAACCATTAGGGTTTTCATTTTTTTTCGTTTTCGAGAAAAACCGTAATAAGTTTCGTTTGAATTTTTTTGTGGGTATTATTAGAAATGTTTCTTTCTTTAAATTTATATATATAAAGAGAGAGCGGAACGATCAGATATAAACCATTCTAATTTATACAAACTAATTACAACCAATCATATAAATCCGATTATTTATTTTTAATTAATAAGGGTATTACGGTCATTTGAATTTACAATAGTTATGTATGGTAATTATTTAATTATTAATAGATAAGTTTAGTAAGAACATGATATTTATATAAATATGGATGATATATATATTGAATTAAAATTTCTGAAAAAAATCATCATGATAATTTTGTTTAAAAAGTCGTCACTAATTTCCAATGAAACAAGCTCAAACAGTTCAAGGAAACAGGGTCATATACAATTACATCAGGTTCATATGTATAACAGCTGTAATGAAACAAGTTCATAAGTCATATATGATTGCATCAGGTTCATAGGTATAACAGTTGTAATGAAACATGTTCATAGAACATGTTTTTCCCCGTTTTACCCTTCCGTATCTTCAATATGAATTCTTTTTTTTTTACTTTACTTATTTAGTTTGTTTCAATCTTGGTCTTTCATCAAAAAAATGGATGAATGTGATTAGTTTGTATGGTTTGTACGAAATGGATGGTTTGCCAAGTAAACCTCCTATATACATATAGATAAGCGATCAAATGCAAACCGTCCAATTTGAACAAACCGTGCAAACCACCCTTATCCGATTGTTTTATATAATACTTAATGAAATTTTAATTAAATTGTTTCATGTATTTCTCTAAAATTAAAATAATGAAGATGATGATAACACCCTTCACAATAAAAATGATTAATCAACCTCTTATAATTAAAAAAAAATGAACAAAATGAAAAATTATGATTGGTTGAATTTGGCTAAGACTCTTAAAAACTCTTAAAACAGTTCATCCCTAGACGATTTCACTCCTATCCGATTTCATCCATATCTGAATTCGTGTAACTAACTGCAGATAAACACAATCAAATACAGGATAAACATCTCATTTTAAATATAAAAAATCTACAATATAATTAGTATAATCATTAAATTCTAACAGAATACTTAATTATTATCTTTATAAAATTTATAATATTAAACCAAAAATAAATTGTTTTATTATTAAACTTAAATTAAATTATATATTAAAAAAAAATATTCTATATTATAAATCATTTGACAAAAACTTTTAAAAACCACTTTTTATACGTAAATTACTGTTTATTAATACATATTACTTAAAACTTAAGATTACAAGTAAATTGTGCGTATGTACAACTTATTAAAGCTCCATATTTGAATTCGTGTAACTAAC